GTAGATTTTACATGTGTTCTTCATATGGATGAAATGCTCCTTAAAGTAGCTGGAAATAGTGAATACATCTTCATCTTTAGGAGAGCTAAACTCTAAAGGACAGGGTGAAGAAAGATGAGAAATAGTTCCTGTTCATCTTGCTTCTAAATTTATTAAAAGTCCAGTTTAGATAAAATTGTCAACAGTTTAGTACTATTGTAGATTTAGGAAGAGCTAGAGTTGATGAAGGATTAAGTTCTGTGACTTCTCTGTTAAATGGGAGAAATTGTTCTTAAACAATGCTCAAAGAAAAACTATGTTAATTTAAAAAGCATTTGCTTTTTGCATTGCAAGCACTATTTGCATTCAATTTTTTAATATGTGATAGTCTTGCAATAATAAAGTAGGTTGGTTTGGGCTTTTGTGCATATGTAAGAAGAACTTTCATTTCTTATTACATCAGTAAATCACAGAGATTACAATGATTTCAGAACTTGCGGTGCAAATTACATTGTGCTTACGTATTAGCTATTGTATTTCTCTGCCATGATAATAAAGCGTTGCCTTTACTCTTAATTTGTTTCTTCTCATTTTATTTTATTCCTGCTTGCAGTTCAGAGTTCCTCAGAGCATGATTAGATTATTCACATTTCTTGCCAACTTGTAGTTTCAGCTGGCATGAAAAGAGGCAAGCAGAAGTCCTTGCCAAATCTTATGTTAGTTATGCTGTTAGAAATGTTCAGAAGACATCAATCTCTTCAGGAAAGTCACAAAGTGATGCAATATGAAAAAATAAAATGTGCTTCCCTGTATTAAAGACAACTTCTCCCATTCACTGTTTTCAGTGAACTTAAAGTGGTTGTATCATGTCAGACTAAACATTGATTTCACAAAATATCATCTAAACATTGATTTCACAAAAGATCATCTCTGTGCAGTAACCAGTAGAAGAAGCCAAGACAGGAATGTACGACAATAAAGACATATTGTGATATAGGCTCAGCTGTGGCTCCAGGCGTCTGCAGTACAGCAGTGTTGTGCAGAAAGCATACCTTTGTGTTTAACATAGCAATGACGGAAGTCTCCCACTAAGCTGTTGGCTTGCTCTTTGAAGCCATGCAAAAATTTTACCATCAGCAGCTTGCTGTGCCAGTAAGTTCTGTGGTTGAGCTACATATTTCCTTTTCTATTTTTGAATCTTGAGAGCCTCATTGTACATGTCATAGTTTTTTATGTAAAAGAGATGATTATTATTCCTATCCATTTCCCTTATGGTGCTACTGACTTTAAAGATCTTGAGGTTGGCCCTGTTTGGATTGCTCCCTTTCACCATAGTCATCTATTCACCTAATGATCCATGTTTGGTCATCTGGTGACATGGATTAGTACCTTTCTACCCATATGTTATCAATTTCAGATGGAGCATCACGATACTGACAAGATACCTGCCCACAGCCTTGAAGATTCAAGTGCGCTATGGACACAACCATATAATGACGTTTCTGATTCACTGTAGGCTTGTCCTTACTCTGTTTGCTTTTCCTTTCATCACTACTGAACATCAACATGGCATTTGCACAGAATTGCCTACTGTGTAACTAGGTTCTCTTTCCAGGGTGCTAACAGCTTGCACAAGGTCTGACATTCTTCAGGTATGATTAGTATTGCCGTCTTCACATGTGCTTTGCATTTATCTACACAGAATTTAATCCACTGTTTTATTAACCTAGCCATTCAAAATCATGAGAACTTTTGCAGGCAGGTTTACTTTAACCATGCTGAATAATTTTAATTTAGGTTCAGTGACTCTTGCCACCTTCCAAATCACCTCCTTTTCCAGATTTTTTTTTACTGCATTCACCAATTCAGGCCCTTGTACAAATCCATTCTCCAGGAAACTTGTCATCTTTCCCTTTGCCTTATAGGCTTGAGCACCTTGCTTAGAAATTTCAAAGCAAAGTTAGGATCACATTTAATTGCTTTCATGTAGATGTTCATAATTTGAGTTGTAAAAAGATGTTTTTGTCCTGCAATATTGAAAAGAAATTTCTGTGTGGCACGAAGATTAAAACCTACTATCTTCAGCAAGAATTTATGATTTCAGTGTCATACTTGTTCTGAACTGTTTTCACTGTATTGAGATCTATTAAAATTGTTCAGTGACATAATTTTAAATGGATCAGTACAGTTTTGTATATGTGTGATAATACTGTATTACTGAGTTGATTCAATTTTTTTTTACGTTGCTGCTGTTAATCTGTTGTTGATTATCAAAAGCAAAATCATTAGTATAATGGAGTACATCCTCTTGCTATGATTTCAGCAGAGCATATCTAATAAACCAAGGCATCTGAAATTGGAATGTAATAAAAATGCAGTATTTAAGTTAATAGAGTATTCCTGTTAAATGAGTGCTGCTAATGAATCTGCTGTGAAGCAGAGCTTGTAATAAGTCAAGGGTTACAGAAGAATTTGCACAATAGGAGGATGACATTTAGTTTTACAGCAATAGTTTGTCATCTGTTAAAAATCTTTTTGGATAAAATACATTATACTACTTAGTATAAAACTTACTGTGAAAATTCATGTACCATAAGCTAAATGTGTAAAGGTAGTTAATAGTTGTTTCCGTTATACTCAAATACAATTCTTCATTGTGGTTGAAGAAAAACTCAAGTGGTTCTTTTTGATTAGAGGACTTTGATAAAGGAGCATCATGGTTTGTGGGGAAGGATGTTGATATAATTCAGCAACCAAACAGCCTCCCCTTCTTTCTTTTGTTTTCAGTGTTTTACATTTTCTTTTTCTTTATTTTCTTACAAGGGAATTTTAATGTGAAATTCTAAACATGAAAATCATGGATTCAACTTTTTCAAGAAAAAATTAAGAATACAAAAGCACAGTCATCTTGCAGAGCACACAGTAGACAGCTTTAAATAAAAGGGCCCAGAAAGGGAATGTAGTTTATGACTGGAGAGATGAAAATCTCACCTGATAAACTCATCATTTTTCGTTATTCAAAAGGTAAACTGTAGAGGGAGAAGGGAAAATTACTCTTGCAAAGAGCAAATATTTTCACCCAGCCCTTTCCCAGGCACTTTTCTCTGGGATTCAATCCCTAATCTCTAATCTGCCTGTCCTGCCAGTGTCGATCTCTTGTCCTCAAGGAAGCCATATTTCTATTTTGCCAGCACTGCTGGCTAAATGCTGACTCAGTAAAGGTGGTGTTGGTTCCTGTGCTCTGTGTTAGCAAGGAAGTCGCCCAGACCCTCATGTCGCTGGTTCATTTCATCTCACGTGACAAGCAAAATACCCACCTCCCAAGACAGAACAAATGTGCTCTTGACAGCTTTAGGTAGAAGTTCTGAATAAGGAATATTTGAGTCATTTTGTAACTATGTATGTTTTTTCTCACTCACTCTTTAATATAACAGACATATCTGTTTTATTAAAGGCAAATTTAAAATAGCTTAAAGTAGTTCTTAGAATTAGGCTGTTCTTTTCTCCATGTTATATGACTGTAGCCTCAAAAATGCTGACCTGACTAATAGTAGTAGTTACGTTTGCTCAAGTAGAGTCATTTGGGGTCTGAATGTGGTGGGAGGGATATTCCAGAAATTTTGTATTAAAATTCTGTTTTACTAGATATGACAACGTATATTTCTCATACATGCTAACGGATTTTAAATAATTGTCATGGTTCTTAGCTTTATTAGGAGTTATTTTACGTTTATTGCCTGATGTTTTATATTACTTCTAGCAGCAAAACCTCTCTTCTAGAATTGCAGTAAAATGAGCTAAATGTTTTGCATGAGGCATTGTGTCATCAGACCTCACCTCTCTTGATTTCCTCAGCATATAAAAGACAAAATTCAATACCCGTCTCAAAATCTGATTATAGCTCATGCTTACAACACCTCCTTGAACAACATTTTCTATCTAATTAACACATTTTCCTTATGTATTAATTACAGACCAGTCTGTTTGCAGATGAAAAAAGAGAAGCCTCTTCTACTTTATCAGCTACTCGTGGAAAGTAATTTTGTTTCTCTGGAGTTAGTATGTGTTAGCTTAGCAAAGAGTGGTGGGTCTTAAGTGTATTTAAGATGTTAATATTTTACTCCTCCATATCACTTCTAAGTTTTATTTTAGGGAGGAAACTGAATCAGAAAATTTCATGGTTTGCTCATAGTTTCGCTGTTAGCACAGAAAGGTATAAAGGTGCGATACTTTTAAATCCTAGACCTGTACTTCAGCCATAGAATGTATCTCTTCACTATTTAGAAGATATTACAATTACTAATTGACAGAAGTGGAATGCCTTTTCTTGCTGCAGAAATACATTGGAAGTTACTTAGGGTGAGTTATACTAGCATGACCTATAGCTTAATTGACATACTATATTATATGTGCCCCTGCCAACACACATATTCCAATGGTTATATTTCAATCATGGAATTCTTTGGCTGCATGAAAAAAATAGTTTTGTTGAAATGAAGTCCATTCAGTTTTTCAATGTTAAGTAGCAGTGTCCATTTGCGTACACCTGTAGGAAATACAACCAGCTTTGTGCTCCAAAGACATAAATCCAAGGTCCTCTTAAAAAACATGATTGGTGTTGCTAGCCTTTTAGTAAGGATCTGTGCTGATGTAGGTGAATGCTTAGATTTTCATGCATAGCAGCATTCAGCCTGCACCTAGGAACTCAAAAATATTACCTACAGACCTTCAGTTAAGTAAGTGTTGCGTTTAGTTCTGCAGTTAGACAAAGTAAAGATAAACCCAAGATATCTGCCCTTCTGTTTAGTTAGAGGTCAATATTTGCTTAGTTTGGACAGTAGTGAAACTGAGACTAAAACAGTGTAAATAATTCCTACTGAATACTTTAAGGGTCTGTGCTTAAAAATAGCTATTATCTATAAAAATTAGTAATGATCAATGGTACCAGTGTGGGTCCTTTTGTGGGTCGAAGTGCTTCCATTTAATGCCTTTTTTTTTTTCCTTCTCTCTCTCTCTCTTTCTAGATGCAACAATTGTTCCATGAAAACTATGAACACAACCGCAAGGGTTACATTCAAGATCTTCACAACAGCAAGATTCACACAGCCATAACACTTCATCCAAACAAAAGACCAGCCTACCAATACAGACTGCACAATTACATACTGAGTCGCAAAATTTCCGAACTGCGCTATCGGACCATCCAGCTCCATAGAGAAAGTGCCCTGATGAGCAAGCTCAGTAACAGTGAAGTAAATAAGGAAGATCAGCAACTGGGAGTAATGCCATCTTTCAATCATTTCCAGCCACGTGAAAGGGATGAAGTCATCGAGTGGGAGTTCCTGACAGGAAAATTTCTTTACTCGATGGTGGAGAACCAGCCACCCCGGCAGAGCCTGAGCAGTGTCCTGCGGGCTGCGCTGGATGACACCGTGATGCAAGTCATGGAAATGATAAATGAGAACTCTAGATCTAGGGGAAGGCTCATTGATTTCAAGGAAATACAATATGGCTACCGCAGGGTGGACCCTCTGCACGGAGTGGAGTACATCTTGGATTTACTGCTTTTGTACAAAAGGCACAAAGGAAGGAAAGTTACGGTTCCAGTGAGACGCCACGCTTACCTTCAGCAATTGTTTAGCAAACCTTTCTTCAAAGAAGCAGAGGAGCTGGATGTAAGAAGCCTGCTGGAGGATACCAACACTGACACTCAGTCTTTCTCTTTTCTTTCGAATTCTTTAAAGATTTTTTCCTCATCATTCCAAGGCACCAAAGACATCAGGGGACGCAGTGACAAGAAAATACATATTCTTGTCCCTCTCACAGGAAGATTTGACATTTTCTCAAGATTTATGGATAACTTTGAGAAGACTTGTCTGATTCCCAGGCAGGATGTAAAGTTGGCAATAATTCTCTTCAGTTCCGAGATGGGCCAAGACTCCAGCAAACACATAGAGCTAATGAAAGAATACAGCATTAAGTATCCTAAGGCAGATATGACCCTGATTCCAATAGCAGGAAAGTTTTCTAGAGGTTTAGGTCTTGAAATGGCCTCATCTCAATTTGACAACAGCACTTTGCTTCTGTTCTGTGATGTTGATCTGTTATTCACACCAGATTTCCTCCAGCGATGCAGAGATAACACTATTCAGGGAGAACAGGTTTACTACCCTATCATCTTTAGCCAATATGATCCAAAAGTAATATATGGCAGCAACCCTCCAGCTGACAGTAGTTTTGTTTTCACAAAAAGAACTGGATTTTGGAGGGAGTATGGATTTGGAATTACCTGTATTTACAAAAGTGATCTACTTACTGCTGGTGGATTTGATACTTCAATTCAAGGCTGGGGACTTGAGGATGTAGACCTCTTTAATAAAGTAATAACATCTGGCTTGAAGGCTTTCAGAAGTCAAGAAGTAGGAGTTGTCCATATTTTTCATCCGGTTCAGTGTGACCCCAGTTTAGATCCAAAACAATACAAAATGTGCTTAGGGTCCAAAGCAAGTACGTTTGCCTCTACCGTGCAGCTCGCTGAACTCTGGCTACAGAAACATTTGGGTGTCAGGTACAATCGAACTCTCTCCTGACATCTCAAGCCGTTTGGCCTTTTTAGGGGAGTTTACCTCATTATTGTTGTTATTATTTGATTTTGCTGTTGTAGTTTTAAACTCCCTCCACATTGTCTTCCAAAGACTGTTGACCTCAAATGGGATGAGTCTGCTGTTCACTGATATTTCTCATACCTACTGAACTGGTGAGGTGAATTCCTTCGTATTTCCTTTATTTGAAATTCAGTCAAGTCACAGCAATCATATGATCCCATGGAGCACATCCATCACAAGAGAGTGCATCAGAAGAATGTTCTCTTTCAGCTTTGGGATGCAGTATCATCTTTATTGCATTTCTCAGATTCGATGTGATACAAATATTTACTGGTGAAGGTACCACAAAAGTGCTTTATGCTTCTTCTGGGGATGGAACTCTGTAAGATAAACTTGAGTTTTATAATTTATATGAGGACTTATATGTATAAACGCTACTTTTCTTCATCTTTAGAATTTTTAAAGTAAATGAATAACTATGATTGTACCTTTATTTTTTAAAAAAAGAGAAAAACTGAGAAGCTACTTGCAAATACAACTGGTACTGGCTACCAAGGTCCTTAAATGTCTTATTAGAATAACAAACTCCTCATTGTTGTTCACTCTAAGTGTAAATGAACTTTATTTTCCCAAGGAACAGGATTTAACCAAATGCTCATGTACACTTTAGAAGATTTGAGAACCAACGTCCTTCATTTGCAGGCAAGAAGAAACTATGACTTAACATGGTGGTTTATGATAAAGTGCAGGCATATAGTATTCTTTGTTTGAAACACATAGTATAAGTTAATGTTTCTCTTTTTAGAATGAGTCTCTAATACACAATTTTTTTTTACATTCCTTTGATAAATCTTCACTTGAAACACAGTGTTAGAAGTTAAAGCTGTATTTTTTTTTATATTTTCCATTAACATTGGTACTCAGTATAAATTTGTGTTAAAATCAAAATAACTGTAAAATAATTATTTAAGTTTAAAAATTTTCTATTGCTGGTCAAAGTTCCTTGGCCAATATATTTATATTAGTGGAGGTTATAAGACTGTGTTAAGATTTATCTCTCTGGATAGCCTGAAGTTGTCATATTGTGGATTCACAGAGTAAAGTATTTAAAATGATACCAACATAAGAAATAATAAAATCGATTTCTGTATTTTAGAGAAATGTTTATATAGGGATGTATGTTTACGTGTGTGTGTGTGTGTGCGCGTGTGTGTATATCCCTATATATATAGATATATAGAGAGAGCAATTTCAAAATAAGTTCTTCTTTTCAATTCAGGCAGCAATTTGTTACAATCGTTATTTTGCCACATGCTTGGAACGTTTCATGTTATACTGTGGTAAGAACTCAGAGGCACCCCAGAAACCATCAGAATTCGGACAAACTTAAATTAATACAGTGGGTATGTGTAATAAACTCAATACCCTTGATTTAAAACTATATTTCAAATAAAGCTGGGCAAGAAAAAATAAGCAATTATTGATTTTAAGTTTTCTGATGCTTAAATACATTTTCAGCTGTAACTGACACCTTCTGTGTTTTCTTTCAAAAAGCATCTAAGAGATTGGAATTCACCAATACATTGATTTGTATGAAGATATCCTGATAAATTTCCTAAGGCACCAGGAGCATGCGTAGGTCACTTGATGTCTCTTATCTGCAGTTCTTTGTTCTAGATTTACCATGCAAGGAAAAAGGCATGACTGAAAAGGAACAAGTAAACTCAGAATTAAAGGGCCAGCCATAGCTTTTTGTATGCATTAAAAAAGGCTGTCCCCATTCCCATGGAGAAGGTAGTAATTGTAGTAGATGAGAACAGTTAGAAGTTAATTCCTGGTTGTCTGCCCTCCCCAGGGAGAGCTCCTGGCTTGTTATTCTCCTGGAGGCTCTTGTGTTCCTAGCCCAGACGTCTGGAGAAAGTAAAATTCAATATCGCCTATGAAATAATTCTTGGAAACTGTTCTTTAAATTGAGTGCAGAGGTTGCTTTGTTCAGTTAGAGAGCCAAGAACAAGCAACATGCAATTTATTTGATCAGTCTCGACTAACATGCAAGTCAGATGATTGTAAATATCAAAAAACTGAATGCCTGTTGATAAATGTTTGTGATGATTTCATAAACATGAAAAAAAAAAAAAAAGATTTACAAAGACATCTATGGAAATCATTGTCTGCTGGGATGTATTCCAGTGCTTATTTTGTTACTTAACTTAGTGGCCAGAAAGTATTTGCTCAGCTCAAAGTAAAATAGTAGATCAGAACAAGAAATGAAATCAATCATTCAGTGGGGATAAAGATGTATACAGAGGGCTTGCAGGATCAGGTCCTACATCATATAAGCAAAATGCTAGTATTTACCAGTACAAATATTTATTTAGTGTCTGACTGATTCATTTGTTTATATATGAATTACTTTGTTAAAAAACTGATTATAAATGTTTATTATGAAATATTGCATTGTCTTTTGAAACAACTATCCTGAGATAACTTGAGAACTTGTGTTAGTTTGTTTAAGGAATAATATGCCTTCTAAGGAGATCATATTAAAATAAAAAAAAAAGCACAAAAGTGTTAGAGTAATGTTATAAATGTATAGATTAAGATGGGAATGTCTGCTAATCAACTGTTTGATTTTGTCTAGTCTGAATCCTAATCTTGATTGTAAAATGACATTTCTATGTGTATGATGTCCCTTTGTAAATGCGTAACTAATTCACAATACAACATAATGACCAATTTTTCCAAAACCTCTTCACCCTGGGAATAGCTTCCCTGGTTTCATTGCTAGGAATTGCGTTGTGAACTGCTCACGCTTTGGCTTTTCCGACACTGCCTTTCTTAAAAAAAAAATCTCAGCAACCCCCACACAGAAACCTCAGAAATCCCCACGCCACCCCCATCCTGACATGTTTTCCCATTCACAGTACTTAATTTAACAGAGCATTTACATCTTCTGGATGAAGGAGAAACATCCAGTTGGGCTTCCTGAGACTTGCTGAGTATATTCTGCATCGGGGTACTGGTTTCAATCTGGGGAAAGGCAGAGAGCTGGGGGAGGCGTGAGGCTCAGCCATGGGAGTCGGTGCCTTCTGCCCAAGTCAACTCCTTGCTGCCACCAGCACTGCCAGATCTGCCAACAGGCAGCACAAGCCAGCGCAGGAGAAGAGCTGCACTTGCTGCCATCAGCTGCTTTTGGGAAGCAAAAGGGCTGTTTTAATCAGCACTCGGGAGGAATGAAAGGAGGATGATGAACTGAGGTTTCACTGGGTTGGGGTGGCAGGTTATCTTGTGCAGATTCTATGCCTCCCTGTTCACAGGTGGAAAGGGAATCTGGTCCCACACTTATTCCCTGTTTCCTCTCAAGGGGCCTTGTGAAGGAATGAGCAAAGCCAGCGGTCTTTACACTCAGTGGGGCTAGTGGCCTGGACCATGGACTTGGAGTCTTACTACATCATGGGACGTATGGGGGAAAAGGTGCCAAATGGTCTTCCCAAAAAGCAGTAGAGAGGCACCTTCTACACTTACCAAAGACCAGAAGGATGTGCCCAAAACTTTGTACCAGTGTGTGCTTAGTAGTGCCTCAGTCGACTATTGCAAAAACTATAATGCTGGTGAAATGACTCATCGGAGCATACTGCAGATCCTGAGGAGCTGTGAGTTAACTCATGCTTCCAAGGAGCATGAGTTAACAACCACTTTCTTTAAATAGGCAATTTAAACTTCTTTTGGTTTCTTGAGAAGTAATTCTAGTGATTGGTTTAGACATAGTTTACCACACAGAAGATTTTTCTCCCAAGAACAATGCTAGCTTTACAATGGAGGCAAAATACATGTGCAGTCTAAATCTGATTTTCCTGCAGCTTGAAATCAGTTAAAATTTTTTGGAAAAAATATGGACTAAGAATTTGTGACTAGAGGAAAGTTTTGTGTTTCTGTTCTACTTTTAAAAGAGAATCAGATGAGAAGAAAACAAAAAATGACTATAGAAGATACACACAAAAATCAGCCATGATGTGAGGGTAGCAGTGATGATTATGGTCCTGAACTGCAGCACAATGAGATGTTTCACAAAAGTCTAACTATTTACAATAACTGAATATCACCGAAGGTAATACTCTGTCTTAAGTCTGTAACATATGAAGTTACATCAGTCCATTTTTAATTCTTTCATTTCTTAGAATAGTTTTCTTTACATTTTCTTTTGTCACCATTTATTCTCTTGATTAATGAGCTGGCTTTTCATGACTCACTCCTTCCTATTTTTCTTTTCCTTGCGTCTTCCCATTTGCAGTATATATTACTACAGTATTTGAAACTTTTTGAGTTAGCATGATATTTCTGTTATGGTTTTATGACGTCACTGCCATATAAAACTGCTGAACTAGAGTGTTTTCACTGAATGAATTTCCAGTCCTGCTTCAGGTTTTTTCCATTTGCCTTTCACTATAAGTTAAAAGTGTTCTGAATATTATTACTTTATCCCTTCCTCTGGTCTCCTTCATACTGGAATCCCACCAAGGCAAGGAAATGCAAAAAATTTCTAATCATTAAGTCCAGAAAAATGAACAGAATCTGGGGATTTTCGGGGGTTTTTTTTTTGTTTGCTTTCAAATCTTTTATCTAGAATCCCAGAAGCATATTTATTAGTTCCATAATTTTAATAAAATAAATAATGGCTATTAGGATGTAAGATATATATGGACTATATGATACAAACTGTAATTTTACATCCTTATTTTCTAGGCACCTAATTATTCAACAGATATTTGCCATTTATAGGAACTTAGGAGATAAATTAAAAACATCCTTGCCTATTTAGTGTTTATGTAGTATTAGTGGAAAGCTTAGCCATTAGGCATGGATGAAAAGATGTGCTACATACTGTAGGCCACTGGGTTTTCTTTCTTTTGTAGTGCTGGTGGGAAGATCTCCTCAGCTCTGCATAGGATGCCTGCAGGGTGGTGGTGGTCTTTACAAATCAGCTGTGTCTAGCAGTGATTTTAAGTGACTGCAAAGCTATGGGCATAACATCCAGCTTCATATAGCAGGCAAGATTTACTGGATTTACATACCTAAATGTGTGAGACAGTGATCTTCAGATTCAGACTCTGATGTGGGACAATCAGATGGTAGGTACCTAGGTCAAGTATACCTGCTGCTGCAACTTCTGGGCACACCAACTGAAGGTATGCCTTTAAAAAGGAGGCTCCAGCTATGCAATGGGCTCTGTGAAGATACTCTTAAAAGAGATATATGCTAGCTAATGTAGATGCCAAATACTTCTACTTAGAGCAGGTAAATTGCCTTTAGGTGACTTCATCCAAAAAAGGATAGAAAGAATAAAATGAATGATTGGGAAAAAAGTGCTTGTGCTTGAGATCATGAACATTTTTATTATTTGCTATTTGGGAAGCCTTCATGTCTTGCTCCCACCCTTGCTTAGTGTAATACAGAGCAATAAACGATGCTTATTTTACACATTTGTCCATATGCTGCTGTCTAAAGAAAAGATAAGCTGACTAAATGCTTTGAAGATAGTGGTTGAACCATGAGTGACCAGAGAGAGAACTGCTGTGCACAGTTCAACCTCAAAACCAAAACTCAAACTGGCTCCCAGGTAAGGACAATTCTCCTAGCTGGCTGTCGTGGACAAACGTAGGAAGTAGAAGCCTGAGTTTGTACTAAAGCATCATAGTGCCCGGGGAACCACTTTCAGGCTTCTAGTGTGTGATTGCTGGGAGCAAGCACCAAGTCCAAAGACAGTGCTGCCACCAACTGAAGAAAAAAATGAGGAATACAGTAGAAAGTGTTTCATGAGTGACAGGATGGATAGGAATGATGTAAATCCAGAGAGGTGTGTATGTCTTTGTTATGCTGAGTGGAACACAAAGCTTGTTTTAAAGTAGAACTCGGCTCTCCTTCCTGAAAGATTTTCACCTTGAGTTCCACTTGTACATGCAGTGACAAGTGCTGAAACTGTCTGGAGCAATACCAAAACTATAGACCTTTCACACCTGCTTTGTTCTGACCAACAAGCCCAAGTTCACTGAACTGATAGTTTAACTGGCAGTTATGATGTTTTCCTGTTCTCTTTTTAGACATGACACAATTTGTTGTTATTTAACTAGGAGTGAGATC